CAAAAAAGTGGAGAGTTTAGATTTGCTTAACACATTTGTATCTCCTGAATAATCAAATATAATTATTTTACAGTCTAGTACTATGGCCTAGGAGTTAAAATAATGATTTTATTTTAACTTTGTACTCTTGATCGGATTAACTATGACCACAGTGCCTTACCATGTCCACTGAGTAGATAAAATTGCTCCTAAGAAATACTTGAACATCGATGTAAAATATTGGTGGTGTTCTTCAGAAACCTAGTTTGTGAGGCTCTCGGAATCTCAAAAAATATGAATGTTTTCCTGGAAATATTTTTACTAGTAAAGGACTTTTTTGTTGGGCTTCCTTCCTGAGATACGAAAAATAGCTATTCCTAAATTTTAAATAAATATAAAATTAAAAAGCAGTATGTGTTTATGTTACTGCATATTATAGGTTTCCTTCCAGAATTTTGTTCTCTAAGACTTAGGATAAGAATTGGTGACTGAACATCTGGACTCCTGACACAACCCCAAGGGTTCTTGTAAAAATAGCTCTTCTGGACAGTGTGAGGTACTCTGAAAATCATTGAGGAAAACAGGCTGAGGAGAGCAGCGACCCCCACTCAGATGCGGGGTCGGAAACAGCAAGCAAACTGGATGTAGATGTAACAAACACCCATTTTTGTTCTTTATTGCTTCTAGGCTCAGAAAATATTTCTAGAATTCTTCTCCACAAAGAAGCTGTTCCAGGGTTCCCTTTAGAAATAGTTGTAGCCAAAGACAATGAATTCCTGCTGTTTCAAGCCTTCTTCCTTTGGAGGACATTAAGGTATTTCTTTAATTCCTCAGCTGATTCAATACAAGATGAGATGGAATTTCAGGCTGATCCTGTAAGCAGTACTTCACTGAACTTCCCCTTGCCAGATACCCACGTTTGTGCAAGTGTTTTCTCATTCTCCTCAGTGAGGAGACCCAAGACCATTGCTCTCCTGTGAAAGGGGCCCACTAACACATCTCCGCCCAACGGGTTTGAAGGGGGACAGTTTTCTTTGCTCCACGTGACAGGCACCATTTACCATGATGCATCAGTGTCTCCAAAAGTCTTAGCAAGACTCTGTTCAACAGATAACCCCCAAACCTGCCGAGGGTACAGCATCACCATCATCCTTCTAGAAAGGCACGTACGTTCTGGACTATGACTTCAATACCGTATCCCATGTCATATAAGAGCATAGACACTCAGGATTTACATGAGAATCTTCTGGTCTTGGGGCCAAGACTCATCAGGATATCCTCCATATTGAGAACACTGTTGCTCAGAGAAACTGGGAGATAATAGCAGTTCCTGATACACATAGTTAAAAATGCTCTAACAAGCCGCATGCATGTTTCCCAAACCTCACTAACACCTCCTCGAGCTTCTCGATGTATATGGATTAGAAACAATCATGCTATGATACCACAATTCTAGATTCTTTAAAATTCCCTCTTCCCACACCAAGAACTTCCTTGGATAGGAACTTTGCAAACAATCTTGCCCTGAAAGGACTGTAAATGTAACGTTGATTTTAAACGCTCTAATTCAAGATGGTATCCCATGGGTCTCACTTTGGGTTCATTATTTGGAATAAGAAATTGAATTGCAGTAGTCTTTCTTTCTCAAAACACTGCTCTGGTGTTAGTAATAGGACCACTTCAGAGATTACATGTGAGTGTATTGGACTGACTGAGAGAAAAGTCTCAGATCCGTTTATGGTGATAGCAGACTTATTGCTAGTTAACTTGTAGTTGCATATTCCTGTTGTGACATTGTTCTTACAGAACTCTAGTATAGAGAGGGCCCACAGGGTAGGACACTAGGCACTAAAATGTTGAGAGAATGATGGAAGGTAATAGAACGGTAATGCATGACTTCAGATGAAATGTTAGACAGCTAGTTGTCTACGCATGTGTCTCTTACAGATCACCATTTCCTCCAGTGACCTAGGACACCAGCAGTAAGTACCCCCCAGAATCGTGCATCGCCACCCTCAAAAGGCTTTTAAAATTTGTTCCAGTTTGTACTTGAACAGGAAAACACTACTTACTTGTTAAATGTCCTGAAACGAGATGACAAATGTTAAAATGCTTTCTAAAAACAGTTAGACTTCTGTCTGTATTGAATATATCACAGTGAGTGTTGTTGTATTCAGCCTAGCCTATTGAGTGGAAATTGAATAGCTCTCAAGTAAATTGACAATTTTCATGAGTAAATGGTTTTGTTGAGTTTTTCTGTGTTTTAATATTAAATATTGAGGGAGACATAATTTGAAATGTATATACTTCCCAATTTCTTCCACCTAATGCATCATAAATGAAGGGGAAATACAATGTTAAAGGCAGAAAATTTTTTGCTTCTTGCATTCTACCATATTGTCTGAGTCCTGGAAGACATCCAGTAGGACTTGTTTTATCTAAAATATTTACAATGCAGCATTTCAGGACCAGCACCTACTAAACAGCCCTTCTATGCATTTTCTTTTAACTTATTAAACTGAGCAAAAGCTATTATCCTGAATGTTGTAGGGAAACATGTAGGGAAAATGTTGTATTTCCTCTCCTGGAGAAATTTGTGCTTGATGTACATCCATGACTACACACACACACACACACACACACACACCCTAGCTGACGAAGCTATTTGGATAAGGTGTGGGACTGTTCAGGTCAGTGTTGCTGTTCTGATCCCCAACAACTCTGTTACTTTTTCCTTTTCCTTTCTAGCCACAGATCACAATTCTGATCTCATCCATTAATCATGATAAGTATCAAAAATAGCATGTACCTCACTATTAATTCTCTTAATAAATCCCTAAAATTCACTGAAAGTAAAATTCCATGATGCATTTCCAGCCTCAGTGTAATCTGCCCGAATATATGCTTTTCCATAATACGTTCTCTAAAGCAAAAGTTTTTCACAAACTTAAGTGTCAGTAAAGAATACAAGCTTTTGTTTGGCCCGTGTAGACACGCTCAAAACATTTCATACCCATCAGCCATTCCCTAAAGCATTGGACAGAGAGTTCAGAATCCAGCCCTGATTTTTGCTCTCATCACCCTAGAACATAGACCTCACCCCTTTTTCTGTGGGATGATCGACAGCATGGTTACTTAAAGGTGATACAGTTCCTCTGTTCTGTCTTAGGTTTGTGGTCAGGATGATGTTGACAAAACATTGGATGTCTTGTGGCTGAAAGCTGAAATGGAATCCTTATTTGGGGTGACTAGTGACAGTAGTGATTAAAAAAAAACTATATAGTTTTGAAAACCAGAGATGTTTACAGTAAATTTTAAAAGAATGTAAGAAGGCAGCACAGCTGTAATTAATTCACTGTATCTTAAAACTTGCCTCAACTTAGAACTACTTTTTGATGTTTACAGTTACCTGTGAGAAAGGATACTTTAGTGATGGAGGGAAACCAGAAGTTTTACGGCAGTGGAAAGTTTATATAAAAATTTCAGGGAGATGTGCTTCAAACCATGTTGCAGTAAAAATAGAGAATGTGCTATACCCTCTTCATACGTATTTGTACTGGGAGAATGCCGATCAAAGCATCCCTTGCGTAAGTCAGTGTTGCCCGCTACCTGTGAAGCGCTGAATCATCGGCCTCTTTTAGCAGATGGATAAAAATTTAGAACTCTTGATCTTAGCAGTGGCAGCTAAAACCCTTATTTTAGTCTCTCTTCCATGGTAACTGGAGATGAAACTTGAGAAGACAGTGTGAACTAATGGATGGAGTGTTGGACAGGAGGTCAGGAACCTCTGTTCTATTCCCAGCCTGCTACTGGGTTGCTATGTAAACTTAGATAAGCCAGTCACCCTCTCTGCACCTCATATTTTCCATTTGTGGAAACATAGGTACAGACATTCCGTACTTAGCTCTTCACAAAGATTGTGAGAACCCGCTTACTCTGAAGAAGTTCATAGTATCTTTTGATTAAAAAGAGGATACAGAACTATGTCTGTGGCCCTGTTCCCTTTGTCAGCACCCTTCCCAAAATCTTATGTTATATAAATTGCCCCTTATCCACACTGCAAAACAAGAACCGTTACAGTGGGCCTTGTATTGCACAGAAGCCAAGATTGTGACGTTGGAGCCAGAATGCCTGGGTTCGAGTCTTGGGCCCATCACTTACTCTGTGATCTGGGACATGTGAGCATCCTAGATTTCCACACCCATAAAGTGGGGAAAACGATAGCGCTCCTCTCCCTGGAGTGGGATGAGGCTTGAAGGCGTTTATGAAGAACATTCATTGCAAACATTGTACAGATCCGTTATGCACTTTACATAAGTGTATAATTACTTTTATGACCCAGGACAGTTCTTCATTATTAACATGGCAGGGAAGGTAAAGCTTCACCCTTGGCCTTGGTTCCTTCTGTGCACCTCTTCCCAGAAGGGCTGCTCGCTCTTCCTGCTGACGCTTGTGTCTAACTCTGCCACTCCCATAAGCCCTGGGCCCCGAGGATAAGTTCTCAGTCCCTGTGATCCATCATATCATCTGTAATAATTGAAGAAGTGTCACATAAATGATAGGAAATCCAGATTTCAGAAGTGTAGCAAAATGAAGAGCTGGTGGACCGTTGGAAGCTATGTCCTGATTTTTTATAGATCGCTCAGAAAACATCAGGAAGAAATAAAAGAGAAGTTGACAATTTACATGGAATTGATTTAACATCTCCCCTCTGCTTTCTGTAGTGGTGACCACGGGGAAGTATTATATAAGGGTACCAAAAAATACATAAATTGTTCAAATGTAAAAAATAAAGTTTGGGAATTTTCAAAAATCTAAATAAAAATCTTTCTGTTTCAGGGCTTACGAACATTATGAAAGTGTGAAAGCTTAGGGTTTGATGAAAATTATTGATTTTTCTTTTTGCAACTGCAGTAGTGTGTGGTTTCAAAGGTTGAATAGCGTCTAAGAGGTAATCATATGTTTCATTGATTTTTTTCTATTATTATTATTATTATTATTATTATTATTATTATTATTAGAACCAACCTACATCACAATTGATCCACCTGCATGTGGGGAGTTACCAAACTGCACGCTGACGGAGAAGGACTGTGTTTACGGTTTCAAACTTGATCACAATGGTTGTCGAACCTGTCAGTGTAAAAACAGTAAGTAGACGGCCAAAGACGGCACTTTTTACTTTTTCTGAGCCTCATGTGATATTGTCAAAGCATATTAGGTGATTGAATATCTCTTTCATTCCTGTTGAGGCATTCCCTTAGCAACCTGAAAGAAGAAAAGAAAAATTTGTACTTAAACAGATGCACAGTCATTTGGGGAAAAAGAGGTTCTCCTTTCTCTTGGTTTTCACCCCCATTTCATTGTGTTCAGATACTCCGCATGTCCCGCTGCATCATGGGTGCAGCCCTTAGGCCTTTGGGGTACGGTTTTCCTCTTTCCGACCACCTATCGGCTGTCTCTGTAACACCTTTGCTGGGCTCATGCGATGACAAGGCGGTCACCCACACAGAGGGTGACACAGTCCGTGTGTGGCAGCCATAATTCTTAGAATGTGCTTCACACTGTTGATCCCAGCTCGCTCATATGTAGATTCCAGTCACGCCTCCAGGTCGTGCGTGACCTCCAAAACTTTAGAGAGTAAGTATATTGCATTGCTTCCAGAGGGGGGAAAAATTGCCCTTCTTGTTTAAAATGATTTTTAATCTTCCTGATTCTTTAATGGAATAAGCCTTTTCAGTCTTCTCAGCCATTCCACACGTGACACGGGTTTTTGAACTTTCTTAGTCCTTTCTATCTTTTGACATAATATGTCATTTTCCTTATGTAAATGTGTGTGGCCCAGAAACAGATAGAACATTTAGAATGTGGTCTGATCCATGCAGTGCTATTGTGTGGCCTGAGTTTGCATTAGCTCTTTGAATTGCACATTGTTGGGTAATACTGAGTTTACACGTATAGCTAGCTAGCACCACTCGGTGTCCTTTACATTGGCTGCTGGTAGGTGGTTCTCCATGCGTTCCACATTTGAATATTTGATTTTTTTTAAAGGATACAAATATAGGGCCAAATTAAATAAGAAATTATCCTGAAAGTTTTAAACCATTTTCCAACTGTTTGGAATATTTTTGAATCTTGATAATGTGATAAGCATAACTTACGTGTCCTCACGCAAACTGTCAAACTGGAATAAACTGTACAGAACCAAGGACAGAGCCACACAGCACTAAAGACCTTCCTGCAGAATGGCATTGAACCCTAATCCTCACTCTTTCAGTGAAGTTACTCAGCTAACAACACGTCCGATCATCTCGTGAAACAGTTGTCTGTATCTTACCTGAAATCAAAACACATTATATTTGCAGCACCCTTTTGCTGGAAATTCTGTTTGAAACAAAAAGTGAAGTGCATGGGGCCTGGCTTGTTCTTCATGAACCTATGCTTGCTACCGGTGGTCATTGCTTTCTTTTCTAAATATCACAAATCATATGTTTAACAGTTCTTTCCACAGAATTTTCAGTCATGAATGTCAAGCTTGGTTTCTGTAGTTTTAGAATCCTTTGTCCCTTTTATTTTTTTTTATTTGAGAGAGAGCGAGCATGAACAGGGGAGAGGAGCAGAAGGAGAGAGAGAGAGAGAGAGAGAGAGAGAGAGAGAGAGAGAGAGAGAATCCCAAGCAGGCTCCACCCTCAGCACAAAGCCCCACTTAGGGCTCGATCCCATGACACTGAGATCATGACCTGAGCCGAAATCAAGAGTTGGATGCTCAACCGACTGAGCTATCCAGGCACCCCTCCTCTGTCCCTTTGGAATTAACATTTGGTGACCTCCTTTAGTTTTCTGAAATCTCTTTCCATTCTCTCTGATCTCTCAAACATAGACCATACTTCTATAATAAGCAGGTTCTCCGTGAGCCTTTGGGTGTAATTATCCTGAGCTCAGAGGCTTGGAATTATTTAACGTATATAGATGCTCACTTTCTGATTTATCAGTTATCTTGGGCTTTATGTCTTCTTAACCTTAATTGGTCAACGCCTTCTTCTATAAGAATACTTCTGATGAGGAAGACAGAAAATCACAGTTGAGTAATTCAGTTTTTTTCAGTTGTCAGTGTTACCATCACTGTGCCTGCCTGATGGAATTGGTGCTAAAATGCAGTTTACAGAACCGTTGTTGTGATTGTGGTTGTTACCACCTTTAAATGTCCTAGAAGCCTCCACTCATTGGGGCTGTCCTGCCTTCATCACCTCCCTTTGGAAAGTTGAGTTCGTTAGGGAGCTGCCTTGACATTCACATGTGTTTGCTTCACTGGCCAATGTAGATTTTCTAACATCGAGATCATTGGTATTGTATTGTGAAGAGTTCATATTTTAATACTTCTCAGCTCTCTTGAGCTGCACACCTTTGTGATCAAGGGAGCATACCTAAATTTTTTTCTGAACTTTTTGAAGTCTAAAAATACAGATTTCATTGTGCCTGATCTCCCCACCTACCGCCTTCACCTGGGCTTTGCTGTTTGGAACATGGTTATGCTTATATAAGACCCCCAGCCCTTCATAAGGAACCCTTTGTAGTTAAGCCCAAGGAAACCATTTTCCTTCATTTGTCATTGAAGCAAGTTAAAAATGGATCACTGGCATTTTGCAAAGTGAGACTGTTAGGAAAATTCTCTTCTGCCTGTCTTCATGTTAGTGTCATCTTCTGGCTTTGTAACAGGGACATGCGTGCACACTACGTGCTGGGAGCCTCCATCTCATTAACGTGGAGGAAGAAATATGTACAGGAGAGTGTTCCATTTTGTGTCAACATTTTTTTACGTAGAAATCTTGATCAGCTGTTCATTATTTGCAAATTTTGTTTGCTTGCAGGGATCTCTGGTCTTTCTTCCTTCCCTTCTCCCTCCTTTCTTCCTTTGCCTCATATGATAGAGCACCTGCTGAGTTCTAGGTACAGTTCTAGGTGTTAATGCCACAAACATGAGTAAAATGCAAGATCACCCCTAAGAAGAAACCACCTACAACCAATACACTAATGAAATATCACCATTTCAAGTCAAATTCTTTAACTTAAAAAAGTAAGTCCGATGAAGAGGAAGCTTTGGTCCTATAGAAGAGCCCAGGCACATGCCCACACCAGAGGAGGGAAGTAACTGACCCATCTCCCAGGACCACACTGGACACTCAGCAGAGGGTGTTTGAGTGAACAAGCCAGGAGCCATCAGAATTGGGGATGCCTTTGGGCATCATTCTTGTTTGAGATCCCTTTCTGAGATCTTGCTGTTCTGACCACGTATCCCTTTTGTCACACCAAGATTCTTGACCCAGGTCACTCTTCTGCTATCTCACTTGCTGCCACCATATACCTAAGACCATAATCAGACACCTAGTAGAATTTGTCAGTTTGTCTATATCATACAGAAGTCTAGTCTTAGAGTGAACATTCTGTTCTCACTCCCCTCCCGTTAGCAATCCTGACACCTTAGGGAGCCACACCTTTTAGATGTGAGTCACAGTAAACCAAACTGTCAGACCCTTAGTAGTCAGACTCCTGTGACCGTACATGCCCAGCTGTCCTCCCAGGCTCTTGCGCCAGGTTGACCTGCATCTAGCTGGTCAGGTCAAGTTGCTTTACTTCTCTGAGGCTCTGTGTCCTCATCTGTAGAAGGCAGATAATAATATCTAACTAATGGGTTGTTTTCAGGACCGGATCAATCAGTGAATGCAAAGCTAGCTTTACTCGCTGGCATATGGGCATTGTTACTCTGTTTACAGAAAATGGTAGCTGTTTTATAATAGATCCATTTCTGAGTCAGCCCAAGCCAGCTGAAGTGGAAAGCCCCCAGCTTCCCCTCCTTTGTTCCAACACAGACCTGGCTCTGGTTCTTCCTGCCCTCTGAGGACACTCACACAAACAGCTTTTCTTCTACCTTTTAATTTTAGCAGTTGAATATTTTCATTCTCTTTCACCTGGTTTTAGAAAAAGGAATCTTCCTTGTAGTAAAAGATGGCATAAGTGTGTTTTTTTTTCCATTACAGCTACTTGATAAGTATTGATTTTGTTTACATTTCTCCCTTACATTATTATTTATTTATTTATTTATTTATTTTTGCATCCCGCTAAAGCCCGTTTCACATGCAGTAGCCCCAACCATTCATACCTAAGTGTTCTGTTAGGGATTAGACCTTGTTTATATACATCAGGATTTCTTAAAATAAGACCAGTGCCAAATCAATATTTTCCCCTGTTCATTGCTTTGTTGTTCGTTCATTCTTTTTTCATCTAGCATTTGTTGATGGCCCATCTTATGCCAAGGGATATGAAAAGATAAAAATGGGCCTTAGCCTCGACTAATGTTAGTAATAATGCCAATATGCTGTAACAATAGTGCAACATAACCAAGCATATTATATACATAACCACTTTTCCATTGAAATCAAAACCCAGTAGTAACGAGTCTTCCAAAAAGTTCATGGAAGGTATAGGACCAAATACTGTGTTGTTTGAACACACTACAGCTTTGCTATGTTAACCTGTAACAGATAATATTCTTATAACACTGCTCAACAAAGTCATACATCAAAGGCACACAGAGAATTTAAATGATCCCCGACTCATCTTCTCCTATTCAGAATAAGGACAAGAAATATGGTAGAAAATGTTTAAGTACTATCGCAACAGAAGTTAAAACCGAAATCATTTAGATGTGCTATTAGTAACCTAACACTTATTGGTATAAGCTGTTAATAACATTATTTTTTAACCAAAAATGTCTGTTGCTGTCACATAGACACAGTACACTTCAGCTCACTATACGAACTTTATGTAGCAAATGAATTAAATGCCATCCATCTTTTGGCATCTTATTTTCCACGTCTTTACATCAAGTGGTTTTCACTGGATTATTTTTAATTTCTCTTCCAGTTTTAACATTCTGTAATTCTAGGAGTTAATAATGCTTTTATTCAGAAACTGATGCAGACATAGAATATTAGCAAGAAGAAAAAGGCTTCATATTTTTCACGAAATATATATCTGAATCAAATATCTAAAGGTTGTAGCATTAAATACAGGGAAGCAGTCTCCATGTTTTCATTGTAACTCAGAACCAAAGTAATAACTAAAGACCAAAGTCAAGATTGGCACAACTGTTTGTCGTGTTGCATTTCTTTATTTAATAGTCTCAGGGGCTTCACGGTGCCCTTAACTGGTAGGTTAGTGGGAGTTGGCGGTATCCAGGAGTGTGAAGAGCCGCCACAGAGAAGTGCAGCACAGCCCCAGGGTCATGGTCATGTGGCGCGCTACATGCAGTTACGTGGTTTTCACTTGTGATAAAGAACCGATTCAGTGGTGTCACGTTTCGGCCCTGGGAACAAACAGCGCTTTTTCTCCAGAGTAAACAGAGTTTCCTACGTGGCTGTTATCGACCAGCCGTAATGCACAGGCTCTGTACTTGGCCATCATTTATCACTTTCTCTTCAGGAATCTTCCCCTATGGATTAGAAAGAATTTTTAGATCATAGTAAAGTCATAATGCTGAAAAATTATGAACATAAAGCCGCCATTCTTTCTTTCATGTTGCCTCAAGTGATGTACCAAAGCTTTTCAAGCAAACTGAACCCTCCCCCCCCCACCCATTCATAAATGAGATATTTGTACTTTGTTCTGCTCTTTATGTAAAAGTTTGCTTTGATGGTACCTTTCTAATAAGAAAAGTCCATAATTGATACATGGATCTAGGGCTACCTTACCGTCTTTAATATTCTTTCTTTCTGAGAAGAAGAAATAATAGAAGATGGTATTCTGAGATGGTTACCAAGTGCCGGTATTTTAGGTGACTTTAAATACTAGCAGAGTAAGTTTTTTCGACCTGTTTATTTTTCTCTTAATATGGCAGCCTTGATGAGAGTGGAGGGATAAATAGCAAGAACGTCGATCGATTCATGTTCATTCACTCCATTCTAAACGCCATCGTAGCACCCAGGCTGTAGAAGTAAGAAAATAGGGCCCCACCCTAGAGCCTCCTTCTGTTAGGGGAACAGAAGCGAGACAGGCCCAGTCTAGAACAGGCCAGTGAGCAGTCCCAAGCCAGGGCGACATTAGAGCATCCTGCCCTAGGTGGCGTAGCCCATCTTCTGTCTGTGAGTTCTCTGTGTGTTTGTGTAAACATAGCAGCCTTTGTTTGAAATGCTCTTCCATTGCAGAGCAGAGGTAGTTCCAGACTGATGTAGCTTTTATCAGTTAGTTTCAGCTTGGTGAACAACTTTCTTTCAGAGTGAAAGCCAGTCTAGGGCGCCCAGATGCCTCAGTTGGTTAAGCATCCAACTTCAGCTCAGGTCATGAGCTCATAGTTCGTGGGTTTGAGCCCCGCATTGGGCTCTGTGCTGACAGCTCAGAGCCTGGAACCTGCAAAGAGTGAAAACCAGTCTAGATTGAAGTCTATGGAAAAACATCTTTTTTATAGGAGCAGAAAAATATTAAGGCACAAAGATGCACTGAATCCAAAGTTCAAAGTAATTGAATCCCCAGGGATTCTGACTCTGGGACGTTCTCAGAGCGTTTTTAGTTCCTCTATTTCATACCAACATAATTTGCTTGGTGTCATGACTTAAAATTTCATGTGATAGAAAAATGGACTCACAACTTCTATTTCATTGTCAGAGAAAGAAATGTGGCTCTGAAGTCTTCTCTCTCCTTCATCATCCCTTAACGATGGAAACAGATGAAAACTGATGACCTTTCAAATCCTATAATTACAAATTTTTAAATGAGCCATTTAGAATTTCACTTTTAAGGATGCAAATTAGTAATCAGTTGCTTCGCAGTATGATACAGACCCACGGGGTTATATTAAATATGTGTAATGAAAGGTTTATGATCAGGACAAAGTAGAAAATTATACCATAAATCACATTTTTCTCCATAAAAGATAGCAAATTAAATATTCGCGTTTTGCCAGCTAAGATTCACAAAAGATTCTATCTTAAAATATTTATGTAAAACATGAACCCATCTCACCTATTAATTGTAGTTCAAGGTTTAATTTTAGATTACAAGATTTGTTTGCAGAGGGTCACATGTTCTGTTTTTCTTAGTAACCTATGCATTATTTACAATATTTATGCTTAAAAGGTGTCCATATAAAATGCTGATTCATTTATTATTCCGACAAAAATAGTTTCTGCTTCCCATCTTGCCAGTCCATGCAGAGCAGGAATCAAACATTGCTGTACTTTTTTTTTTAAATGTTTATTTATTTATCTGGGGGGGGAGGGGGGGAGGGACAGAGAGAGAGAAAGATAGAGAATCCCAAGCAGGCTCCACACTGTCAGTGCAGAGCCCCACACGGGGGCTCAAACTCATGTACCGCGAGATCATGACCTGAGCTGAAGTCAAGAGTTGGACGCTCAACTGACTGCACCACCCAGGCGCCCCCAAAGTTGCTGTACTTTTGCCATCACTGTCTCAGCCTCTTTAAATTTGGTTGACTTTCAGACTACATTCAATACAAAGAGGCGTCAGGTTGTCTTAGTGCTCCCCCAGGCATGCTTTTCTTACTGGAACATTTTCATTCCCTATATGAAGTCCTATCTCACACCTTTTGAAATCTTTTTAGAAGACTTCTACAAAGCTAATATCTCCACTAGCTTCTTTGGCCAATCTCCATAGTATCTTACCCTCCAAAATAATCTTATAATTAACTGGGGACAGTTAAACATCACTCCAAATTCTGCTAACAGAGGAGAGTTTGAACATTTCAAATAGTGGATAAACGTTAATGTAGACATTTTTGCCACATACACTTTTTAGTGTCCAATTAAGCTTATCCTAATACCTGGATATTTGTCAATGGTAGGGAAAAAATATCTAAATGAAACACTGACTGTTTCACTTTATATCATGTGGTAAGACTGGCTTTTTTTTAAAGAAAGGGTACGAAATCCTTTAGGCTACATGTAATATGCACTATCATGGGATAATATCTAAAACTCATAAGAGAAAACATTTCTTAACGCTCTGTGCGTCAAGAAAACACTCTCTGAACATTTAAGAACATGTGTTATTGTGAGCATTTACTAGGAGAAAAATATATAATGAAATTTGGGGTGTAAGTTTCTACTTCTCACCTTTTAACAATACACGGTAAACAGTAGTTTGAGGTAATTCATAATATAAGAACAAATTTCGTGAAAAAAATCACACTCCATTTCACCTGCACCTCAGGCTGTAGTTACCAGCCTGCCCTTCAGCACCAGACCGGAATGCGCTTCAGAAATCTATTGTTCAAAGTTGGGCTTCATTTTGTGTGTTGCACGGAGTTCTGTTGGGAGAACCATGAAATAGCAGGTCTGTAACCTTTAACCACTTCCTCATGCTGCAGGAGACGTGAGACATTTATACCTGTGGAGCGAGACTGGAAGATTAGGGAAGGTATAGAAGTGTCCGTGTGTCCCGCAACACCTCACGGCCTCTGTGCTTCTTCACAGGGGAAGAGCGGTGCTCGGGGCTCAAGCGAGGGTGTACTCTGGACTGCCCCTTCGGCTTCCTGACTGATGCCCACAGCTGTGAGGTCTGTCAGTGCCGCCCACGCCCCAAGAAGTGCAGACCCATCATCTGTGACAAGTATTGTCCATTTGGATACCTGTAAGTATTTAATTCAGAGGATCTAGTCTTAACTATCTGTAACTTAATGAAACGTCCACACTTATTTTGTTAGCTGTTTCGTGTGTGTGTGTGTGTGTGTGTGTGTGTGTATGGATCAGTGATGCTGCGAGTCCAGAATATCTGTGCTTGCTTTGTTATATGAATCGGAGAACAGTAAAAAGGGGGTATAAACACTCAAGTTTTGCTTTTTTATGCAGAGGGACCGGAGCCTTTCTGGCCACTATCCTTTGGGCCTCTTCTCTGAGACTGTCTCATAGCAAGGGCCTTTGGACGCTGCCAGTGGGGAATTGTCATGAGGTCCTGGTATTACACGTGCCACAACTTTTCATAACTGCCCCAGTGACTATTTTGTGATAATGTATTTAATGTGCATTTTAAGTTGAGTGGACAGCCGCTCGTTGGCAATATGGAGCATGCTTATTGGCCACGCCTCAGTATTTTATCTTGGTTCTGGTCTGTAGTTCATACTTTTTCTTTAAGGACCAGTACATTTTATGAATTTCTTTAGAGATAAGAACCATGATTTGTATTTTCAAGTATTCTTTGTTGAGTCAAACCCCGTGGAAATCTAGATTATCCCAGGAGATAAAGACACTTCACATTTGTTTAGTGTCTGTATTAGTGTCTCTTTCTGCCCTTATAGCTTTGTTGGTTCCCTAAAAACTTACCTGTCATAATCTTGCTTTATCATTTTTTTCCCTTGGTTCCCTTCCCTGTCTTTCTGCCTTTCCAATTTGGTATATTTGTGTATTGCTAGTAATTATAAGGGACTTAGACCCATCATCTCTTGCCTGGCATTTTAGTTACCATTTTTATTCTTTCTCTTAGAAATTCTGGTTTAGCAGGGTTAGGAGAATTTTAAATCTAATTTTAATCAGATAGTTAAATTAGGAGTGCTCACTATTGTTAGGAAGTCCCCAAATAAATAAACCGTCATTGTTCTTAATCCTAAAATGTGACTGTGATACCAGCACAAGTATAATTATTTCTTAGCTTCACTGCTAATGTAGAATAAAGTGTTATTATCGTAATAGTAACTACAGCCAACCTGCTGCAGTGTTATGACAGCTCAGAACCAAGGCTGCATCGAAGTCCAGCCTTCCCCTTGAAGAGAAATCTCTTAGAGGATTGTGGGGTCCACTTCATGTTCCTATCAGCGAGAGCATTCATTGCAGACCAGGTGGACCAGCAGAGACAAATGAGTACTGCCTCAGCTAGAACATGTCTTTCAAGGACACCCTCTAGAAGGAGGAACGTTGGCCAGACACCATGTGGGAGCGTTAGGAAGAAGGCGGCCATCAGTGCCCCTTATACATACCTGCTGAGTTGATTGTTACTCTCTGTGTGCAGCCAGGGCTTACGGAAGGATTGGGTGGGTAGATGGACAGATAATAATACATAAAGGAGTGAACAAACAAATCAGATAAAGCCTCAATAGAACTTAAAAAGTGACATGCTGTCTGACATGAGTATGAATAATTCATTTAATTCATTGGTCTCATGGTGGCATAAATAAGATCCTAGTGTTCGGTTCTCCTTTCACTTAGCAGATTGTAATTTAATTGTCACGTGGGCAGTGGTATACCGAGGGTTTCCCATGGAGCTGTCTTCTTTTGGAGTTCCTTGATTTATCCAAGATGAAGACAGGAATTTTTTTTCTCTTTTTTCTGTTTTTAGTTGGACACCACTGTTGCCACTTAGGGCTAATGGGGATGAAACCTGAGGGTAAACAGAGTAACTCCTCCTTGTCTGAGGCGCATTAAGTCAAGTAGGGCAGAGCCTGCAGAGGAGATGTGGAGCCTAGGAGAAGACTCACTTCTGTGGCTGGTTGGACACAAAGTGAGCTCCTCTGTAATAGACAGTGACATTCTCCTTTCAGAGAAAATAAGGAATGGTTGTTAAGAATTTTTCTTTTCAAAAAACCTCCACTTAAACTGCTGTGATGTATTTCATAAACACATATTTATTTATTTCACATCATCTTTCTGATCACAGAATTCAGGCACTCTAGTTTATTAAAGGAAAAAAGATCATTGATGCAGTCTTTTTCCTTTACCTTGCATGCTTCCGTCCTACCCCATGTACGGAGCACTGTTGAGTCGGTATTATTTTCTAATGAGTGAAACAATGAGCGGACACTGATGGCAGGGTTTCTCAAAGCTTTGATTCTTTCTCACTCTTGGCTATAGCATCCGCAGGTCTGTGGAGCCTTAACGTTCTCCTTCTGACTTCCCTAAGTTCAGTGAAGCGCTCATTACTATTTGTACTGGTGTCTGAGATCTCTCAGAGATTGTGGTCCGTGAGAAAGGCCTACTCTGACAAACGAAGGACTCTTGCCCCAGTGCTGGCCTCTAGCAGTGCCCAGCAATATATCCTTCACCATCCTGTTGATGGCATTATGCATCTGTCTTTTTCATATCATGGTACTCCTTTTCCTAATTAAAACAACAGTCATGTCATTGGGGTTCTGATGGTCACATCCCAGAAGCACATTAGTACTTGGGCAATTCTAAACCTTGGCCATGGGTGGGTGGCGGTCACGGCCACAGAGAGCCAATTACACATCACTCCACGAGTTTTGGAGAGCGTAAGTCAAGTCATTCTGCTTCATAGCAGTATCACTTCAGTGACCCTTGATCGGAGCATTTGGGCATCGTTTGAGACTTTTGGATTTTCTGACCTCTGACAAAATTTTAATTACCCAGGAAGAATAAGCACGGCTGTGACATCTGTCGCTGTAAGAAATGCCCAGAGCTCCCATGCAGTAAAATCTGCCCCTTGGGTTTCCAGCAGGACAGTCATGGCTGTCTTATCTGCAAGTGCAGAGGTAAGTGCGATCGCATGACCTTCCTTCCCCCCGCCCCCCCGCCCCCCCAGAGCAGACAGGACTCAGAAACAAAGAACAGGAGGACATGATGTAAATGGAACAGTTTCAGTGATGATGGTCTACTCAGATACAAATGTCACTTGTCCATGGGACCATCCCTTTTCCTCATGTCTCATTGGAATAAGAGCTCAGAATAGAATTTAAACATCTAATAGCCAAGCATATTGTACCAAATTAGTGACTTCTCAGCTCTTCAGTTTCACTCATCTTAGGAACGTTAGCCTAAAGCACCTTTGTCTTGACCTCCATAGAGGCTGCCTCTGTCCAGCAGTGGCTTGATAGAATTGATGCAGCAAAGAGCCCTTTTCAGAGCCCATGCGGGTAGGTGTGGCTAAGCAGCCTGCTTGTGTGTTTTCTGGTAACACAGTTTGCGATGACAGTTTAAACTCGTGCTGAATAAGCACATGCCAGCCTACACCTCTAGATAGGCATGAAGCCTGGGTATACCTTTTACCTGAGACTTCCCATTCCCGGGATGTCCCTGAAGCCACGTGAACATGCACGCTGACCGCCACTTTTGCCCATAGCCCAGCACCCACTCTGGTATGTTTTAGTTGTCTGCGTGATCCACATACTCAGCAGTAAAAGATCCCTAAGTTTGTAGTGTGTTTTTTTTTCAAAGTTAGACAGTTACCACCTTAACAGTGTTCTTAAGGGATCAGAGTAAACAGAAATCTAGTCACTGCTTCAGTTGTTCCATTGAACAAAAATCTGTTAGTTTCAAGAGGCCCAGGATTTCCCCATTGGGTGACTTCTAGAGAGGCTATTCGGCACGTATGGAACATAATATACCATTTTCTGTGAAATCAGTGCTCGTTTACTGCATAAAACATGAGCAAGTAGGAATGAAAGGAGTAAAAATAACTGTAATCCCGCCAATAGAGAAACATATTTGCCAGTTTTTTTCCTGTTTTTCTTTTTTTTCCAAATTGAGAGCGTTTTGACTTACATTCTTTTCGTGAGCCTTTCCCGTGTCGTGAGCTGTCCTTTGTACACGTGACTTTTGGTGGCTGGGTAGCATTACCTGGGAGGACACTGCAGGCTGTTTCTCCTGTGCCGTAGCTGCTGCTTGACCAGGCTGCCTTCTGTCTGTCCAGAGGTCCCTGCTTCAGCCGGGCCACCTGTCCTGTCAGGCACATGTCTGTCCATGGATGGCCATCATCATAAAAATGAGGAAAGCTGGCATGACGGGTGCCGGGAATGCTACTGTCACAATGGACGGGAAATGTGTGCTCTGATCACCTGCCCGGTGCCTGCCTGTGGCAACCCCACCATTCATCCAGGACAGTGCTGCCCGTCATGTTCAGGTAAACGCTGGCTGCCATCTTGTGCGCTCCCTCAGCAAAATGACTTCTGCCTTGCAGGGCCTCATCGCATCTTTGAGTGTGGGGGGTCTTGCCGGGGATGACCCCCCCAGAGCACTTTTCAGCTCTCTGTGGCTTTTGTCAACAACAGCCACAAAATCAGCCAGGTGTTAGCAATGATTAGCCAGAGACCAGAGAAAAAGCAAAAGCCCTAAAACTACTGTCCTCCTTTTTTAATGGTTTACTCAATTACATTGGTCTTTGAACTGTATTTTTTTTTAAAAGGTTTGCAGACCTGATGTCCTTTAAAGTCCAGCTCTCCATTTTATGGATAGTGTATTGAGGCTGAGTGCTTTAGTTAATTGGAGGGGATTGATGTTAACTTCATTCCATTAAAGCGTATTATTTATAAAGGACTATTTGAGAGGGAGAGGATTAGCGAAGTCTGTGGCTATTGCCCTTTTCTAAATGAATGGCTATGTGGTATTGTTGCCAAATGGAGATATTTAGAGTGACCACACATCCAAAACATTTAAAATCATAATGCTGGTAATCAAGAGAAGTTGCTAGAAGAACAGGCCAGATTATATAACTCATGGGCGTCTGAATTATGGCTGTCAATAACAGTAATTATTACCATAATAGCGCATCTAGTGCCTTTCATCCAAAGAGCTCAACGTAGTTTTATATTTATTATTTCTTTCTCAGTACAGGCCACTTTGAGTTAGGGGAAAATGCACTCAGGCAGTTTTTCATTTGAAAAACAGACGCAGAAATACTAACTCTCTTACCCGAAGTAAAATAGAGTGTCAGAAGGCCACGGAGAAATGAAGTCTCCCGATTCTTGCATCTGATGTCATTTAATGTTGGAATGTGTGTCCTGTCAGATTTCAGAGTCGGGACACCTTCTCGTCCGGTCCATCCCATCCCTCCCTGTGGATGGACCCACCTATGCCGTGGATGCAGTCAGGAGTCAGGAACCGGAGACCTGTCTTTCTCCAGCAGGACAGGCACGGCCTGAGGTGGGGGGCGGGGGCAGGGGGAGGGGTGGCAGCTTCGCCTGCCATGGCAGGGGAGTCCCTATTAGCTCTGAGCTTCTAGGCCCCTCAGTAACTAAGGTATCAGAGTGACAGGCAACTCCACACCCCTGTAGAGAACCAGATTGTCTTGTCCTCATATGAGTCTTAGGTGTTCTATATTGAAAGTTTCCTTTTTCATGTGTTTTGCTAGTTAAATATGAAAAACCACCAGTATCCACTCAAACAGAAGGTCAATGTGCAGTGTAATGAGACAACTCTGTTGACCCTTTGGGGAAGAAAAAAATCATTTGTTCCAATGAAGACCCAGTGCCTTAATTTTATTTATTTATTTTTTTAATGTTTATTTATTTTTGAGAGAGACATACACAGAGTGTGAGTGGGAGAGGGTCAGAGAGAGAGAGAGACACAGAATCTGAAGCGGGCTCCAGGCTCTGAGCTGTCAGCACAGAGCCCAATACGGGGCTCGAACTCACTAACAGTGAGATCAGACCGGAGCCAAAGTCGGACACTTAACAGACTGAGCCACCCAGGCTCCCCACATCCCCCCCACCCCTGCCGTGCCTTAATTTTAGGCATCAGTGTATGGAATATGGACCACACACCTGCGTCTTTGCCCCACTTGTACTCCGTGAAGAAGTGAGCCAGAGGGCTTCAAATGCGAAGACATTAGTAAGAATAGACCATTGATTTAAGAACTGAAAGTCAGTGGAACTAAAATGAGTTTTCTCTGTTACAGAGATAGCGAAAACTCTTCTATAAACACACACAGAGTAATTGACGTATCATTGTGGGTTGCAAATGTCTAGATATACATGCATAAAAACATGCGTGTATGTGGGTATGTAGGTATATTTTTTTCCAAATATCTTAAGTGGGCTACCACTTCTGGACTCTGCTGATGAGAGACCCCAGAAGTATTGCATTCGGGAACCCCTGTTTTAAATATTTTCTCCCATTCAAGGATCAGCTGTTTTCCTTTCGGGGGTAGCTACTAAACTGTCCTGCTAGAAGATTCACCAGACGATACTGTTTCTCAGGTTTTTTTCTCCTTCTCTCCCTCTGCCTCTCCATTTGTCTCTTGTCCCCATCTCTGCCGCCACTCACATGTTCTCCTTGAGGCGTGGAGTATGGCAGAGAAGCTGGCAAGACATCTGCAAACGTGCCTTGCTTTCTTCCAACCACTTCCTTCTGCATCAGCGTTGAGAAGGGCAGTGATTGGCAAGCCTCTCTAAGTCATTTTGGAAAGGAAAAGGCAGTAAGGGAAAGGCAGTCATGCTTTTCCAGCATTAGCTCATTGCCACTCTTTGGGAAAGTTTTTGTCTCCTCTGGAAACCATCTCGTCCCCCCTCACTTGCGTTCTAGTTACTATCCTCTCCACTTGTCTCATCACTGGAGAGTTTGGTCTGGTGGCTTATGAATGTAAGCATTGGCTAGTGTGTCATTTCTCCCTAATCGGTCCACTCGGGCAAAGCTCCAGTCTTTCCTAGTGCCCCTGAGACAAAGCTGTGTTCGTAGTTACCATCTTAGCTGGGAATCCGCCCACAGCACTGTATCTCATCAGAGTTGTGGACTCTCACGCTGACCATCACTTTGAAAGTAACAGCATGGGAGCTCTTCAGAGATTCCAGCTCTGAGCATCTCTGCACAGACAGGGGAGCTGTCCTGGGGCCCAGTTTCCACTGAGCTCCAAGCATGAGCTAGCCGTGGTGTCTCCAGACTGCTTCTCGGCAGGGTTCACCACTGTCAACACCTTCTTGAAACCCTTGTTGTATTTGGATGACACAAGTTTGGTTAATGTCCTCATACTTCTCGTCTCCCTCAGCACAACTTCAGGGCAACTCCCAGTACTGCTGCAGACCTTTTCAACATTGAGTTCCCTCTCTGTCATCATCATCTCACCAAGACACCAAAATCGCCTCTCTTCTGGGGCAAGAAATCATAGTTATCATCAGTTTCTGGGCATTTACCTCTCTTGATGATGACATTGCCAAGCAAATGTTTAGTCTCAGGTGAGGGTTTCCAGACTGTTGATTCTGAAAGAGCATTCCTGCTCCGTTTGCTGCCAGCTAGTCTAGGGGTGTGGCCTGCTCGACAGCAGGATGTATTTCCAAGCATAAACGTACGCAGGATCATAGAGATAATGAAGTGGATGGGGCACAGACCGGGTTGGAAGTTGTGTTTAATCTGGAGGCATATCCATGATCCAAACAAACATAGTTGGGGTGCAAATTCCCTGTCTGCCCTGAATACCTTGAGTCCTCTGCTCCTCATATGTAACATAGGATGCCAGTACCTACTTCACAAGGTTGGTGGGAGGAATAAATGAACCAACACACATAAAACAGCATGGAAATTGGGCCACAGTAAGCTTTCAGTAAATGAGAGATTGTTATTCTAGACACTTCCTATACATTCAGAGATCCCTTAAGAGGCCCTGTTCTCTTCTTGACAGGAAGAGTCCCTCTTGAGGTAATTTAATTCCCTTACTGAATTCTGTCATTACCATTGACACACTGGAACCACTTGAACCTCTCTTCTGGAAACCAGCTCTTTCACCGTCCCCTTTTATTCCTGTGCATGGAATACTTCTTCACCGTCGTCTCGCTGAGAACAGAGTGAGATACTCTACCGCCATTTCTCTGTCCCTTCGAGCAGATAACACCAGCTTCTCCAAGGGTTGGCAAGACCGCAGTTGAGTAACTTCTTGTGTCTTGATTTTTTTTTGTCATTTCCCAGATGACTTTGTGGTGCAAAAGCCAGAGCTCAGCACCCCCTCCATTTGCCACGCCCCCGGAGGAGAGTACTTTGTGGAAGGAGAAACCTGGAACATCGACTCCTGTACGCAGTGCACTTGCCACAGCGGGCGGGTGCTGTGTGAGACAGAGGTGTGCCCACCGCTGCTCTGCCAGAACCCCTCGCGCACCCAGGACTCCTGCTGCCCGCAGTGCACAGGTAACTGCGCTGTGCCTTGGGACGTGCTCGCTGGGGAAGCCTGCGGCTTGGGCTCTGTCACTCCGCAGAGCCAGCAGGCCGGGCTGAGCCCCACGTGGCAGCATGCCAAGCCCGGGAGCCAGTCACCCAGGCCGGAGCAGCTGGCAGCCTGCTTCCTAAATTCATTCCCCTCTATCAGCCACATATATTTATGTAATTAATATGCCTTGCATTTGAGGTGACTTTGAGGGGGAAAAGAGACTGTTTCTTTCTGCCATTCTTGTCTCTTAACCCTACATCTCAGACTCGGGAGACAGCCCTGCTGCAGCAAATTATTCCAGCTGATTTTGCTAATGTGGAAAGTCATCTTTGTCCTTAACAAATGTGAAGAGCAGTTATTGATAAATAATGTAAATAAAATTCTTTGTACGGAAGGGTGGTGGAGATACTTGTGGAATGTTAAACAGAGAATTGATAAAATATGCATCATGTTCACCCCCTCAAATCTGCAGTGACAAATAAATTACGATCCAAAAGTATTAACTTGACTAGCACTGCACGTGCACAGAGAGTAGTGTTTTTACTGCTCAGGTAACCTGCCTTTGCTTGTAAATTCATGGTCATGATTCAAAGATACAAACGTGATGAAATTTTGTCAAGATTTTAAACGTAAGTTACTGGTTTTATGACTAAAGTAGCACTCGTAGTTAACACCGGAGTATATTCCTTTTTCCCAGAAGGTAATTTGTATATATAACATCGCCAAGTGGACAGCACAGCTACTTTTATTTTGTTGTTGCTTAGCTTTTGGTCTCTTCCATTTAAATCAATAACCATTTGCCTTCTAAATGTATATTCTTAAGAGTAGTTTTACTCAGTAAAACATAAACCCATGTGTTTCATTACTTTCTTTTTTCATTTTTTTTTTAATGTCTATTCATTTTAGAAAGAGAGCACGCATGCACAAGTGGGGGAGGGGCAGAGAGAGAGGGAGACACAGAATCCGAAGCAGGCTCCAGGCTCCGAGCTGCCAGCACAGAGGCTGATGTGGGACTCGAACTCACAAACCATGAGACCATGACTTGAGCCAAAGTTGGACGCTTATCCGACTGAGCCACTCAGGCGCCCCTCATTACTTTTTTGTTTTTTAATCACTATTTTATTCATGTTCAAACCCTTATAATGTTTTTCGGTTCAGTTCCTAAGGGGAATAGACACCCCTGTGCCCTGGCTTTGCGTTTATTAACTTACACCTGGGCGGCTTGTCTTTTCTTAACATACAACCTGAGAGAGAGTTCAGTGATAGCTTTCCTCTTAAACATTAGGATTTATTGCTTTATATATCAGTATTCCAAACATTCCTCTTATATTTGAATAAGAGCATTTCTGGAATGCTATTATTTTAAAATAAGTCACCTGACCCATAATTGATCTTCCTGAACTTTCCATTCATTGTTATGTTGCAGCAATTTTAAAGACTCTTAAAATGCAAAACATCATTTTCTTCACAGTGAATTTTAACAGTAGTGTTGATAAAGGGTGTATTTCACATCTGGTAAAAGACCATCTCTAATCTTAGGATGTTTGCCTCCTAATGTAGTCCAGAAAGGAGACATATGTACAATTAGAAGAGTTGTGTCCCTCCTGATGATTGTTTCCCCTAGGGTGCCCTGTTATGCCTTCTGTCCTTCCACTTTCCCCCTCCTCTAGCCTGGGTTTAGGGCAAGGTCTGGAAACAGAAATGGGTTCACCAAGATCGAGCATCCTTGCAGGTGGCGAATCTTCGCCAAAGTAAGAAAGAGAATGGAATAACACTTCTTTCTTTTTAAAGGTTTATTAAATTCTCTTTCATCCTTTACTGTTTAGAGTTTGAAAGTAGCATAGCACAGAAGAGAGAGGGAGGTAGAATAGAAATAAAAGGAATGGATGAGCGCCAACCAAGGAATTGGTAAAAACGAAGTTTAGGAGTCAGTATTTGGAATCAAAAGTATAAAGATGGGGTCTCTGGAGCGGGAGGAAAATAGGAAGAGAGGCCCAGAGAAGGAAGATACCATGGGCAAGATTCCCAGATGACCTGGTCAGCTAGGGTTTGGTTAGGGGTCTCCTGCCCGGGGGAAGGAGCCCCCAGAATCTGCATCTCCGCCCTGGCTCCTGTTCCAGCACTGACAGCAGCTACCAGTGTCCCCCAGGGTCTTCTCTAGGCCTCAACAAGAGGCCTCCAGACTCTAGAGTATTCATTTCACTTGGTACTTCTTAGCTCCATCACTGCTGTCCCTGTCCTCTTCTAAATTTTTAGACATGAGGGTGGATACTGCTTGCAAGAGCTAAGCTGTCATAACCCAGAGGACCCTCAGGGCAAAATTATCCCTGGAAATGGATGACCCTGAAAAGGTCACTGAGAAGGGAATCCCAACCCCCCCATTTTTTTTTTTTTTAAATTTTTTTTTCAATGTTTTTATTTATTTTTGGGACAGAGAGAGACAGAGCATGAACGGGGGAGGGGCAGAGAGAGAGGGAGACACAGAATCGGAAACAGGCTCCAGGCTCCGAGCCATCAGCCCAGAGCCCGACGCGGGGCTCGAACTCACGGACCGCGAGATCGTGACCTGGCTGAAGTCGGACGCTTAACCGACTGCGCCACCCAGGCGCCCCTCCCCATTTTTAACCCATATGGAATTCATCTATGGAACCAGCCCTAAAGTTGGACCGAGAGCACATTTGGAGCAGTGGAACCAATGTCTCTTTTTCACTTGGGAATACCTTTGGGACTGGCAGTAGGAGATATGGTTCCATCACTTCCAGGAGAGGGCATGGCACCCATTCCATTTTTTGTTTTGTTTTGTTTTGTTTTGTTGCCCAAAACAAAGCAACTGCCTTGCTCCTCAGAGAGGCTCTTGTCAAATCAAACTTGTTGACTGTAGGACGTATTCGTGAGATGGATGGAAGGAGAATGTGACATTTAGAGCTTCTACATCACTGTGATAACTGCCTATCTTAGTTCTGTTTTGTGACTGAAAACAGCAGCCTTCGTGAGACTGATTCCAAGAGGAGGATATGATCATTCTTTTGACCATGTGGCCACTGAGAAAATGTAGAGGTTTGCCGGGTAGGACATCATGGCTTTTTCCAAGCTCTTGACTGGTGAAGGTGGTTGCAAGTGCTTTCTCTTAGCAGCATTGTCACATATCTGAACTAGGAACCTCACTATCCTGTTTTTCTTTGTTCTACCCCAGTCAGGTTTCTGCTTGAGGTTACAGCTTTTCTTGTGATTTCAATGGATGCCAAGACCCAAAGAGATAACTGGGTTTTCTGGTAACATTCTTTTCTGTTTCAAGTTTGACCTGAGAACCCTCTGGTCAAAGTCTTTAACAAAGGCACAGATGACTTGCAGATGATGTGGGTGCCTCCTTATTGAGTAATTTAGATTTCCCATTATCTCTTAGCCATTAACGTGAATGCCTGAACATTGGGATGTTACAAATGGGTGTTTTGAAGGTGCAGTGAAAGTCTCTTTGGATATCGATTGGTTAAGACTGCACATAGCTGCACGTAAGAGGAGAAACCCAGCTACATTTTATAGACAGATAGAAGTTTCTTTTACATACATTACAAGAAGTGCGGAGGCAGGTGTTTATCAGCATTGATCATTGTCTTAGATACGTAGAGGTCCGTCTCCTACAGGTACGATAAGAATATTACAGCTACAGACAACACACTCATATTCCAGGCGGGAGGAATGTGAGAGTTGCACCACATCTGCGCTTTATTAGGAAAGCAGAAGCTTTCCCAGAAATCCCTCCATTAGCCATTAAGTCCCATTAGCCACAACCAGGTGACAGGGCCACCCTTAGTTGCAGGGGAGACTGGAAAAGCAGGGAGCAGGATCGTCTTGTTTGACTTACACCTGTTGTGATCCAAACCCTCCACCACCCACCCCACCCCCCAAAACCAGGATTTGGGTAAGCTACAGAGGAAGAGTAGAGAGGAGGTTGTACAGACAACTAACAGAATCTCGGTAACAGGTATTTTGTGGTCCTTATTGTCTTGCGTTCCAAATTCAAGACCCTGCCCAAGTCAGACTTGCCATTTCATTCCTGAGTCACTTTTATAGGAGGCACACCGAACCACAGTGACTGAGTGTGCTTTTTATGAGACACGGTGAAATTCGCTATGTTGCACAGGTGGCCTATAGCATCTCCTTTTCTCTGCTGACCTTATGTTCGTTTTTCCAGATGAACCTCTTCAGCCTTCCTCATCCCATAATGAGAGCGTGCCTAGTTACTGCAAAAATGATGAAGGGGATATATTCCTGGCAGCTGAGTCCTGGAAGCCTGACGTTTGTACCAGCTGTGTATGCATGGATAGCGTAATTAGCTGTTACTCTGAGTCTTGCCCTTCAGTATCCTGTGAAAGACCTGTTTTGAGGAAAGGCCAGTGTTGTCCCTACTGCATAGGTAAGACCACGAAAAAAACATCTTGGGTTTCTACCATTGGCCACTCAATCTACATTGACAGCCATTTGCCTAGATCAGTTAATGTTTCTGACATGTCACACAGAGCCAAAGCGCTAGTTTCAGGAGGGTGATGGGGAAGACGTGTTCGCAAGGTAAAACATATTAAGAATAAAGAAATGCTCTCTCAGAATGCCATGATGTTATAGCACTGTCATGTTCTATTGGGCTCCTTTGCTGTTCCAGGATTTTCAATATTCAGCTCCCTTTCTCCACCCTGTTATTTACAGCGGTCTTTCTGTTCACAGAGAAACACCATGTCCCATATTAAGGTACACTTAGCACATAGAGCTCGCTGCTGCCTTGACATCAACTGAATACCAAATACTGATTTAGTGTCCCTGGTATTCCTCTGTCTGCTGACACTTAGTTGATTCCATTTAAACCAAGCAGTTGTCCATGTTGAGGGCTTTCGGGACACAAAGTGAGGCCTGAGAAACTGACAGAATCCTCTCCTTATGACCCATGGGGATACAGCTTTTCAGCAGGAGACATATGTATGTTTGCCCCTGACGTCTATACTGAAATCGGTCCTATGGATATAAGCCAGATGCTGTTCTGGAGTCCAGAAGGCAAGGCTCAGACAGCTGGCAACTCTAATAAAAGCACAGTCCCCACTCCCAAGGCTCTCACTCTCTTTCATTGCTTTTGTATTGAGTAGAGCTCATGAAGTCAAGTGAAAGACAATGTACGCCTCTCAAGCCAGTAATGAACGTGTAATCAGAGTAGCAGGTGAAAAATTAGGCAAGCCGTATTAATTGCATGTATTGTGCATTTACTGTTGGAGATTCTTGCATGCTTTCTAGATACAACTAATTCTGTATATTTGGGATGATACTTGAGGAATAGGAGATGATCTGGCCACAGTGCTTTGTACCAGTTTCCAAAGGAGAACCGATGAATGGCACTCAGGTACCTGTTGGCCACAACTCAAGCTTATCAGGACAGCTCCCTCTCCTTGACTGTGTGACCTCTGGCCACAACAGGAGGCCACTTCCTCTGAGTCTTATTTTGTGTGTTGGTATATAAGAGATGCAGAGATTCTAAAAACACAATTTCTTCCCTCAGGAATTTTACAGCTAGATTTTTCTCAGTATAATGGCCATAGAGTATTAAAATGTATGTTTGAAAGCTGGACTCCCTTTTTTTAATAGAGTGACCACTTATGTAATTTATTCTTCAAACCATGATGCTTTTGAGAGAGAAACAGGGGCTGTTAATTATGATGGGACAACAGCTCTAGACCAGGAGTATCTGAAGCAGATCAGGACCTACGGTTGCCCTACCTTTTAGTGACCAACACATTGGGTTCTTCTGTAATACCCATAAGCTTCCTAGCCCCCAAGTGGAGCCAAAAACAATGTGTCAAGTCATACATCCAACTTAGTGCTGCTTATTTTTTCAAAGAGCTGACCGGAATTTAGACAAAAAAAAAATGGCACTGCCTTTGGTGAGATATAAATAAAAGGCGTAACTAGGCCACCATTTCAGGCTAGGGGATTAGCAGAAAGGAGAAATGTACAACCACTACAACTGCCACTACCATATTTAAATATCAAAACTCCAGTACAGGGGTTTTATGAATCCACCAGGGGACTTGGATCATACTTAGAAAAGAAACCAGGGCCCAGGAGGCTGAGAATTCCATGTTACCTTCAGAGGAAAGATCTGACAGTGAGTCTCTTGTGTGTTGAAACTTCTCAGATTATTTTGTTTAGATAAAAAAAAGTTCTTGTGTTTTGCTGCTTAACCGGTAAATTTGTAATTAGTAAATTACTGAACTAGTACATTTGTTTGCATATAATAAATAGGAAATCACTTCTTTTTCAAAGCCAATGTGACAAATTTAAACTCATGAAAAGAAACCTAGAAGCAAGAGTAGTCTATGTCTTTCTCGGTTTTGTTTTTTGTTTTTTGGTTTTTTGTTATTTGTGGGGCTTTGGGGTTTGCTTTTGTTTTTGATTTGTTTGGTTTGTTTGGTTGTTTCTTTGGCCTTCATATTTCCTCTTCCAATTCTTGCATGATTTAAACTGTACATTCTTCTTTAGTGTGGACAGTTAAATGCCACTTTGGTCCACATTTTTTACTTTGATTTTAAGTTAGTTTGCAAGCACTTTCACTACATTTTTGTTCATACAAGCTCATAATAATAAAGTGAAATTGTGTTTCAGTGGCAGGTGTAATTGTATTATATATAAATCTAAGGCTTATCTTCAGGATAACAAATTGGGGAGACTGAAGATTTGATGAGTAATACTGTATACTTTTATTCATTCATCTTAATGCTTCATACATGTTGTTCTATTATTAAAATAGTCACTGAGCCCCTTCTGTATACATCATACATATTTTGCAAGTAGCCTTATTGGATTAGTCTTCATCCTTTCTCCCCCTTACGTCCAAGCATACAAAGTCAAGTTCAGTCCCTGACTGTGATATGGAGATTCCCTATCTGACTCTCCAGTTAGCTCCCTTGGCCTCTTCAGGCTTGTTCTCTTATCAGCTTCCCGTCAGCCTGGTCCCTTGTAAGGGCTCCAAGCCCGGCAGCACTAGCACCCTGCAGGCAGTTACCGGCTGTGCCTCAGTGGCAAAGCTTGCGTCACCATCCAGAGATCACTAGCAAAGAAAAAGACGGGCCATCATTTTGCATGTCCTAAAGCACCACGTTATTTGTCCAGGAGGCACAGAGGACCAGTGCTTGCACAGTCTCCTGCTTTGGGCTCTCTCTGTTTGAAACCAGCTCTTCTTAACGTAGATAATCTGTTCCCGCGGCCACGTGTGCCTCACCCCACCCAGCCTGCAGTGCTGACCTCACCATGGCCATGGGTCCTTGAGTGAACTAATTAGATCTCTCAAATACAGATTTCCAAAAACCTCAAACCTGCTTTTAATCTGACCTTTTTTTGTAGTGATAAAACCCCTAACCAAAAACATGCTTCCTTCACCTTGCAAAGTATCCTTTTCTCTTACCGTAAGAGAATTGAAAAGTGGTGATCCTACGAAAAGTACTATAATTACGAATATTTGTGTTCTTTTCAGCTAAATTATCAAGTCACTAATGCGCAATGATAATGCTTCTCTTTTGATGTGTGAAGACCTCATATTATGTGTGCTAATTTAATAGAATGTGTAATACAGACATAATTAATAGGATTGATGATTAATTTTGAGAAGTGAACAGCTTTGTCTCATTACTGATAATACTCATCATTTGGGAATTCATCCTCGTACTAGAAAGAAACTAAGTAGTAATTACCCAATCATTTTAGTGAAACATTTTCTGATTCCCTAATTTTTTTTATATTCCAGTTTCCTACGCAAATACACACGAATTTAGATTTTATTTTCAGAAGCTTTTTGACTGTTACGATGGCTTACAGGATGGGGGGAGCAAGAATCAAAAGATGAGCTGAGCGCATAAATCAGGTGAAGATAAAAGGTGTGGTGGGAATTGTAATGTGTGATGGCAGATTTGATACATGGTTTCTCATAAACAGCAGATGCCCTCACCGTGACACACTTCACCACGCACACGTGGCCTTATCACTGACTGTATCCCACATGCCATTCCGGACCCTTCCTAGAGCAAAAAGAATTCCAGTGAGGTCTTTATTCCATCCCTTCTCCATGACAGTTAACAATCCAGCCCTCACACAGTCAGTGCCTGTGGGGATGCCTGCCCTGAGGGTGATGCCCTGACCGCATCCCCCTCGCTCTGCTCTGATGTTCGTGTTGGTGATGCTTCTGCCGAGAGCCAGACAGCTTCTGTGCGGGGCACCATCAACATTCCAGTGGACCCTCAACCATGTGCAGGGGTTTAGTCATTCCCGGGCAAATACTATAAAGAGCGCTACATTCGTCATGAAGATTTTTCTGAATTCAGCTCGTGGGGTCTCCAAGCCTATATTGTTGCAGCATCATGCCTGCTCTTGACTTTGGACATTAAGATGCACAGGTGTGCCCCTCAATCGAGCCAGTCTGAACGGGACCATTCTCGGGTAGGCAGCCCCTGTGTTGGCCCAGTCCTGTTATTACTTAGTGCATACAATATCGTTTCGAAACTTAGGATTTGGCAGCTATGTATTTATTTCTTTGTAACCATGTGTTACTTTAGAAAATATTTGAGGTCAGATATTTAAAGTCCTGTGCTGGCTGGAAATCTGTGAGTCCGTGCATCTTTTTCACTTGAGAAGTTTTTGTCAAAGGTTAGTCGCTTGTGTGTATTTGTGTGTGTATTTGTATATGAGAGGTATGAAATTGTGTATTTGTATGTTATGAAAGTGTACATACAAGTTATAAAATGTGGACGTGTGATGTGAACAAAGTTAAGATACCCCGATTATATATCTTTAAGTCTAGTATCTTTTAAGTGTTGCTAAGTATCCCGTATCTTTAAGAGTCTGTGAAAATGATTTTCCTGCAGACTGATTAGAGATTAGCTATTTTTATATTTATTATATATAAATATTTGTGGTAGAGCTTTTATGTGGAATCAAGGTGGCTTGGCACACTCCACTGGTTGCGATGGTTATCATTCTATTTCCTCTCTATTGTGATCTTCAATTAGAAGATGATGAATAATATTTCTCCTTAATAGAGGCGCTATCTATAGTTTCTATCAAGTCAGTCTATTATACAGCATTCATTTTTGTTTAGTTTTCTGTTTATGATAATGTTAACTTGTTTAGCTATCTCTCCTTAGAGATTACAAATATCAGTAGTATCTCTTTGGAACATCTGTTGATCGTTGTGTATTTAACTCCGCCCAGGAATCAAACATAGCAAATACTTAATTCCTCATCTCTAAGACATACAGTTAAGTCACACACACACACACACACACACACACACACACACACACTGGTGAGGGTACTTAAGTCGACACGGCGTGAGCGCTCACTTGGGTCAGTACAGTTACAGCTCCTCTAACAGAGTGCAGCTGA